CCCTGGGAGACGGCTTCACTCATCATGTCAGACAGGCCCCTGGGAGACGGCTTCACTCATCATGTCAGACAGGCCCCTGGGAGACGGCTTCACTCATCATGTCAGACAGGCCCCTGGGAGACGGCTTCACTCATTATGTCAGACAGACCCCTGGGAGACGGCTTCACTCATCATGTCAGACAGGCCCCTGGGAGACGGCACACCCTTGTAGCACCAGCACTTGTCTGTTCTCTCCCTGCCTGTTTCCCCTTTTGTGTTCGATCCTCTCCCCAAAGCCCTAACAAAGCCACCATTCCTTCTCCCAATTCTTCACATCACAAGCATCTGCTGTCTTCCAGACTGTATCAGGTATTCAGCAGTCCAGGGCGTTCATTTTTATAATGAACAGTCACCTGTGAAAGAAGTATTCTCAGGGGGGCTACTTCAATAGCCAATGGGCATGGAGATCGTGAGGCACTGCATTTCAGCAGCCAATCAGGTGGCCAGTTACATAAGGACTTTGGTAGGGATTGGCGAGTCTCGGGAGTTGTGCCGCTCCTAATCTCCATGGTGGTGGCCGCTTAGGGGCGGCGTCAGAGGATCTCTTGGCTGCTAGCTGCCCCCCACCCCTCTGTCCACCCCGCAGTGCGTCGGTGTCTCGGGGGGGGCACGGCCTGGGGAGGACACGGCGTGCTCGTCTGTACGCCAGCGTGCCGCCGTGGAGGGGGGCCGGCACTCGCTTGTGTCACTGCTTATTTTAGCGAGAGGCAGGTCACCATGGCAACAAGAGTTTTCGACTCCACTCTTTCTCGGAGAGAGTCTTTGAGTCGAGGAGCAGCAGGCAGCAGAGAGAGATGCACACACACACACACACGTTTGTATTCATGTATTTGTGGGGCCAGTCCATTCATTTCTATGGGCATAACCCTAATCCCAACAATGACAACCTTAACCCCAACCCAGCCCTCACCATAAGTAACCAAGCAAAATACACAACTTTTGACTATTGCATTCATAGATTCTGTAGAACTGAGGTTATCCTTGTGGGGACAGAAAAAATGTCCTGTCAAGGTAAAAAGTTACAGGATTTTATTACATTTTGGGGAAATCTGGTCCCCACAATGATACTTAGCTAATTGCATTGCATTGCAAGAAGAAAGATTATGTCATGAGTTTTGTTTTTTTGCACACTCATCTGAGGAAGATCCTTAATGTACTGTTGGATTACACTCTGTGCTCGTCAGTAAGATTGATGCCTTCCTCACTGGCGGAGGAGTCTCGAGGCACGCTGGTTATTGACCGTGTTGAATATGCCCCACCCCCCATGGAAGCAGCCCATAAACCTCCGTCTTCCTCGTGCCTTGCAGTGTGTGGCGACATCCACGGGCAGTTCTTCGACCTAATGAAGCTGTTCGAGGTGGGAGGCTCGCCAGCCACAACACGGTATCTCTTCCTGGGAGACTACGTGGATCGAGGGTACTTCAGTATCGAGGTACGACGGATGCCTCGCCCACCCCCCACCAGAGAGGGCGCTCTTCTGCATGCCTGTGTGTGTCATACACTTCAGCATCGAGGTACGGCGGATGCCTCGCCCCCACCCCCCACCAGAGAGGGCGCTCTTCTGCATGCCTGTGAGTGTCATACACTTCTCTACCTTTTAGAGCAGTGTTTCCCAATCCGTGGACCGTCTGTGGGTCCCTGAGGACGGGGTTCGAAAACACTGCTTTAGAGATATACTTCTCTACCCAAAGGTAATTTAAGGAAGAAGAGGCAAATTAAGTGGTCAAGCAAAACAGGAAGATAAGAATTGACCTTTAACCTCTAGGGAACATTTTTGAAGCCTTTGCTATGGAAGCAAAACAGAGTGACCACCACAGGTTAATTAAATCACAGATAAAATCACAGCTACATATAAATAATACATTAACCAAGCGAGTCGGCCATATTAGACCTCAGTAAATACACCGATTGCGCTCCTTTCTGGTGGGAAGTGGCTGGTGTTGCCCGATGCTTAGTTCAAAGTGTTGAGCATTTACCTAGTAAAGATGCCACCTTCCCCTAATCACCTGCCCATGGTCAGCAGTCCCCAAAGAAGTTCTGTAGGAGCTCCTGGCTCCCGAGTTGCTCGCTGGAGAGCACAAAACCAGAAAGCATGATGCTGAACGTTGCCGCCTACATCCACAGCGCCTCCTACTGCTGTGTGGAGATCTACCGCACAGGGGTGTATGCAGGGGCGGGGCCTCAGGGACACTGCTGAAAGCTGATTAGCCCCTGGACTGCCCCATTCCCTGTCACTCACTGATTCAAAACATATCATTGGCTAATGAGAAGGTTGGCCCCTCTATATGAATTATGGCCCCTCTTGTGCTCGTCACATTAAAAAAATCCTAGAATCATCCCTGGTGCTACACCAGTGATGTCCGGATGAAGAACAGTGAGAGTTCTCAGGGCTAGCTGTCACTGAGGGTCTCTGAGCCATCCCATACTGTTCTGGTTACCCATAGCGATGGCATTGACCTAGGAAATCTGAGATCAGCCACTTCCTTCCATGTCCTTTTCTTGAACCTTTGCTGTGGAAATGCTTCACATCAATGGCTACAAGATGTTCAGCGAGCCCCGTAAACAGCTTCCGAGTGCGACAGGATGTCAGTCACCCTGTTCCGTAATCGTTTTCCTGTTTAATCGGCTTTTATGTGTACATTACAGAGATCAAGAAAGATTGCGTGTCTTGTAGTTTAATCTAGGGCTCCATTTCATTTAAAAGTAATCATTGCATTTGTGTTCTCTTTGCAGTGCGTGCTGTACCTCTGGTCGCTGAAAATCCTGTACCCAAAGACACTATTTTTATTGCGAGGAAACCACGAATGTAGACATTTGACAGAGTATTTCACTTTCAAACAAGAATGTAAGTACATCTCCCCCCCGCCATCTCTCAGGTTGGTTTAACCCATCTGTGGCATTTCATCTCCGCAGGCAGTGTAATGCAGTGGATGCATGGGTCGGATCAATGCTTGCTGTAGGCGGGGGTGCACTGGAACAGGAAAATCACTGGCAGAGGCATTTTCAGAATTAGCCTGGGCCTGTTTTTCCCATCATCCCGCCCACTTGTACCCCTGTCCTTTCTTCCTCCCGTCCGTGTAACATCACTGTCTCCTCCTACTCTGTCCCCCCCCCTCCCCCGCCTTGGCCTCCTGTACCCGCTCGTTCCTCTGCTCTCACTCTTTATCTCTCTCCCCGTCTCCCTCCTGGGCTCTGACAGTCCCGCTTGCCTCTCACATCTCTTTATCTCCCCCATGTCCTCCCTCTGCCCGTGTTAAAACGTTTCCTCTCGCTCTCTCAGTGGCAGAGGTGCAGAGCGGGCAATCGCTGCGAAATGAGCAGGTTATGGGTTCTGCGGGGGTTAGGAGAGACAACTCTTCAGGCGGAGGGTGTGGGTTCACGACCCACTGTTCTGAGGAGGAGAGCACTTAACCTGAATTACCCAGCTGTACAAAAGCAGGGGAAAGAATAACAATAATAACTAGAAACTGCAAGCAGTTACGAAAGGGTCCAAAGCGTAGGATGATCGGACT